GTGCCAGACCTGGGACCACTTAGAGAAAGGTATGAGGCTTGCTGAGACCAGATGCTGCTTGTTTGAGAGAATTTAGGAAAATCTGAAGCCAAAACAGGCCTATCCTATGGTAAAGCCATTGGAAATAGCTTAAATGGGCCTGAAAGTTGGGTGGGGCAGGGCCTCAGAGAATCACCAGGGCGAGGCAAACAGTGTTAGCAGGTTGCTGGAATCCCAGATATGGCAACTGACCATCTGCCTGCCCTATGGGGAAAGGGCTCACCAAAGGAACAATGGCCTCTCCCAGCACATCTGTCCAGGAGAAAGCTGCCTCTCCAGTCCTCGCCCCAACACCAAACAACTCAGTTCTTCCCGGTATGTTTCTGGTGCCTTTCAAGCTGCCTGCCCTCCGCACTGGAGCGGGTCTGAATAAGCCTGTGCTCAGGCCCTTTAAGAGGAGTTGCCTGGGGCTCCAGAAGCCTCAGCCTCCCTCATTGGCTACATTTAATAACGATATACATACCAAAACAATTCTATACCCCATATCTGTATCAAAGTGGCCGCATGTAAGTGGCTTTCAAAGAAGCTGAATTTTAGATCCAGGTCAGAACAGCTGGATTATTTTACTTCTTTTTAAAAATCTGAAACTATAACCTGGCGGGTGTGGCTCAGTGGATTGAGTGTGGTCCCATGGACTGACAAGTCCCAGTTCAATTCCTGGTCCAGGGCGCATGCCTGGGGTTGCAGCCTAGATCCCCAGTAGGGGGCATGCAGGAGGCAGCCAGTCAATGTTTCTAACGCTCTCTCCTTTCCTCTGTCTCTCAAAAAAATCAATAAAAAGTTATTTTTTGAAAAATCGGAAACTGTTATAGGCAGTTATACAGACACGAGCAGAGCAAGGAGGATTGGCCAGGTACAGAAGGTCACCATGGTGAAAAGCCCTGGGTACCTAGCAAGAGGCAAAACTGGGAAAACAAGAACCTCGCCCCAGAGTAACCTTTCCTCCCCTAGCATATCACTGGTTAGACCCCTGACCTTTTCCTTCCTAAAGAAAACATCTAGGCCTCAGTTGTATTTCAGCTTCAGGCCCAGAGAAGAAGCAAAATCAGACAAGTGACTAGAGGTTGCCTCAGGACCAACTGCATTGACTAACGAAACCCTGCCCTGGCACCTACCAATCAATGGAGACCAAGACCTTGAAAAAGCACACAGGGGAAGCTGATGAATATTCTATTGAGACCCTCTGCTGAAAACTCCCTGAAGATTCCTACCTGAAAAAGTGAGATAAATACACCCAGGGGAGCACGCCTGAGCCATTTCCCTTCCCCCTTCTTCCCTCTAAGGGACCCCACCAGATTTACAACCAGGGGAGCAATAGGTAGCAGCAACTCATCCTGGGCTAACCCCCTGAACCTGTCTCCAAGGCCCCCTTTTCTCTGACTTTCCAGTGAGCCAAATCAGCCCAGCTTAGGCTCTCCTGTTTCTTCTATGCCCTTCCTTGTTTTACTGTCCTACGTGTGTTTTCGCAGAAGTCAATAAATTCTTGCTTGCTTTGCTGCACTTTGTCTGTCTGTCTGTCTGTCTCTCTCTCTCTCTTTTTCAATCCTCACCCGAGAATATTTTTCCATTTATCTTCTGATAGAGTGGGGGTGGGTGGGGGGGAGAAACATTGATGTGAAAGAGACACATCAATTGGCTGCCTCCTGCAGGACCCCGACCAGGGCCAGGGACCAAACCGCAACCGAGGTACATGCCCTTGACCGGAATTGAACCCACAATCTTTGGTCCACAGGCCAATGCTCTAACTGCTAAGCCAAAACTGGCCATGGCACACTTTGTCTCTTGACTGAAATCTTTCCTTCAAGAAGACAAGAACCAAGGACTCATCATCTTGCCAGTAACAAAACAAATGTGGCAAACTTAAAAACTGACAAAGGTGCTGGATTAAAAAATGTACATATTTTTTGTACTCTTTCAGTATGCTTGAAATATTTAAAAGTTAATGAAGTCAAATTTTCTTACACCGAAAGCAAAGAAACAAAAGCAAAAATAAACAAGTGGAACATCATCAAATTAAAAAGCTTCAGCACAGCAAAGGAAAAACCATGACAAAATGAAAATGCAACCTACTAAATGGGAAAGATGTTTGCAAATTCTATTTCTATAAGGAGTTAATATCCAAAATATATAAAGAACTCATAAAACGGCCCTGGCCGGTTTGGCTCAGCGGTTAGAGCGTCGGCCTGCGGTCCTGAGAGACCCGGGTTCGGTTCCCGCTAAGGGCGCGTACCTCGGTTGCAGTTTGTCCCCGGCCCTGGTCAGTCGTGTGGGTGGCAGCCACTCGATGTGTCCCTTTCACATCGATGTTTCTCTCTCTCTCTCTGTTCCTCTCTCTCTCCCTCCCGCTCTACCTGAACAAAAAATGGAAAAATGTCCTCGGGTGAGGATAAAAAAAAAAAAAAGAACTCATAAAACGCAATAGCAAAAAAACAAACAAACAAAAAAACAAATCAGATTAAAAAATAGTAGAAGATCTGAATAGACAGTTTTCCAAAGAAAACATAAATGGCCCTCAGGTACATAAGACAGTTTTAACATCACTAATCATCTCAGAGAACTGTAAATCAAAACTACAATAAGATATCACCCACATCTGTTAGAATAGCTATTATCAAAAAAGACAAGAAATAACAAGTGTTGGCATAGACATAGAAAAAGGGAACCCTACCATCAACTTACACCATACACAAAAATAAACTCAAAATGGATAGAAGACTTAAATGTGACCCATGAATCCATAAAAATTCTAGAAGAAAATGTAGGCAACAAAATTTCAGACATCATACGCAGCAGAATTTTCACTGATACATCACCTAAGGCAACAGAAACAAAGAAAAAAAATGAACACATGGGACTACATCAAACTAAAAAGCTTCTGCACAGCAAAAGAAACAACCATCAAAATGGAAAGGCAACCAACTATATGGGAGAACATCACTGCCAACGATACATCAGATAAGGGATTAATTTCCAAAATATATAGAGTACTCATACAACTCAACAAAAGGAAGACAAAGAACCCAATTTAAAAATGGACAGAGGAGCTGAATAGACACACCTCTCCAAACAGGACATACAAATGGCCAAGAGACATATGAAGAAATGCTCAACATCACTAATCATCAGAGAGATGCAAATTAAAACAACAATGAGGTATCACCTTACACCTGTCAGAATGGCTGCCATCAACAAATCATCAAACAACAAGTGTTGGCGAGGGTGTGGAGAAAAGGGGACTCCAGTACACTGCTGGTGGGAATGCAGACTGGTGCAGCCACTATGGAAAACAATATGGTGTTACCTCAAAAAATTAAAAATTGCACTTCCATTTGGCCCCACTTCCAAGTGATCCCACTTCTAGGAATATACCCTAAGAAGCCTGAAACGCCAATCAGAAAGAATATATGTACCCCCATGTTCATAGCAGCACTATTTACAATAGCTAAGATCTGGAAACAGCCCAAGTGTCCATCAGTAGACGAATGGATAAAAAAGCTGTGGTACATATACACAATGGAGTACTATGCAGCTATAAGAAAGAAAGATCTCTTATCCTTTGAGACGACATGGAGGGACCTGGAAAGTATTATCCTACGTGAAACAAGCCAAGCAGAAAAAGACAAATACCACATGATCTCACTTATTTGTGGACTATAATGAACATAACAGTCTGAGGAATAGGGTAGACCCAGAAACATGGAAGTAGGGTACAGACTGACAACCCTCAGAAGAGGAGGTGGTGGGGGGAAGGAAGAGATAAACCACAGAACTTATATGCATGTACGCATAACCAATGGACATGGACAACAAAGCCAGGGACGGGGCGGGGGGGATGGGGAGGAGGGTGTTAATGGGGTAAAAAAGGAGAAACATCTGTAACAAAAATAAAATTAAAAATTAAAAAAAAAGAAAAAGGGAACCCTTTTGTACTGTTGGTGAGATTATAAATTGGTGCAGCCACTATGGAAACCAGTATGGAGGAAGGTTCCTCAAAAAATTAAAAATAGAACTACCACATGACCCATCAACGCCATATCTGGGAATATATCCAAAGGCTACAAAAACATTAACTCAAAAAGGTCTCTGCACCCCCATGTTCACTGAAGCATTATTTACAACAGCCAAGATATGGAAACAACCTAAATGTCCATAAATAGATCAACAGATAAAGAAAATGTGGTATATGTATACAATAGAATATCATTTAGCCATAAAAATAGAAGAAAATCTCGCCAACTAGAACAACATGGCTAGACCTTGAGGGCATTATGCTAAATGAAATAAGCCAGACAGAAAAAGACAACACATTATCTCACTTATATGTGGAATCTAAACAAAAAACAAACAACCCAACTCAAAGATACAGAGAACAGATTGTTGGTTTGAGGGTGGGGGTGAGAGGGAGGGGTAGCAGGAATATATGAAGGCAGTCAAAAGGTACAAACTTCCAGTTATAAAATAATTACAAAGATATAATGTACAGCATGATGACCATAGTTAATACTGTACAGTATATCTGAAAGTTGCTAAAAGAATGTCTTAAAAGGTCTCATCACAAGAAAATAAAGTTTCTAACTATGTATGGTAATGAATGTTAACTAGACTTACTATGATGATCGTTTTGCAATATATACAAATATCAAATCATTATGCAGTATACCTGAAACTAATATAATGTTTAAATGTCAATTATATTTCAAAAAAGGGTCAAAATTTTAAAGTACATTTTATTTTTGTTTTCAGATCCTGAGAAAGAAACTTTTAGGCCTCAAGCTATCTTTGCTACAGTTAATATTTGCCTAGCTATTTTTTTATCTGATCCAAAAATATTAAGATGATTAAGACAGAATCCATTAAATAAAGAAAACCCACACATCATTACTATGAAATGTCCTTAGGTCCTGAAAATTAATCAGTTCATTAAGAGAAAACTCAGAAAGTCTGTCCATTTCAGACCATACCTGGCCTTGCATTTCCGGTCTTACAGGATATGTAGTTGGGTAAGGAGCCCTAGGTCGGGCAGGAGAATTCCAGTAGTTAGAATTGTAGCTAGCATATGGTGGCTGCTCCTAAAACACATAAACAAAAAAAGGAAAATAACTACATTTTTACTAACGATCTTACATCATTCTTAAAAGTTGATAGATGCAGGTATAAGTTTCAAAAACAAAAACAGCACTAGAACCCCACTATATAAATCAGTCATTTTTTGCCCTGGCCGGTTTGGCTCAGCGGTTAGAGCGTCAGCCTGCGGTCCACAGAGACCCGGGTTCGGTTCCCGCTAAGGGCATGTACCTTGGCTGCAGTTTGTCCCCGGCTCTGGTTGGGTCGTGTGGGTGGCGGCCACTCGATGTGTCCCTTTCACATCGATGTTTCTCTCTCTTCCTCTCTCTCCTTCCCGCTCTATCTGAGTGAAAAATGGAAAAATGTCCTCGGGTGAGGATTAAAAAAAAAAAAAAAAAAAAAAAAAAAAAAAAAAAAAATAAATCAGTCATTTTTTTTTTTATTGATTTTAGAGGGAGAGGAAGAGAGAAGATAGAAATAAGGATGAGGGAGAACGTTGATTGGCTGCCTCCTGCATGCCCCTCACTGGGGATTTGGCCCACAACCCAGGCATGTGCCCTGACTGGGAATCGAACTGGCAACCTCTTGGTGCATGGGTCGATGCTAAACCACTGAGCCACACTGGCTGGGCAAAATCAGTCATTATTAAATTAATGCAGATATATTATGATAAATCACATGCCCTAGGAAAAAGCAGTATTGACTGTCTAGTAAAAGCCTGTTCTTATGCATTATGCCAATGTAACCAGACCAAATAATATATAAAGAAATTCTACTATGTCAAGATGATTAACAAAACCAGAGACATTAGATTCCTTTATCCAGTTCTAATCACTAACCCCATCACTACTAAATTTATAGTACAGCACAATTATAGTTCTTTGCCATTGTTAAGAAGAGTAGTATTTGCCCTGGCCAGTTTGGCTCAGCGGTTAGAGTGTCGGCCTGCGGTCCGGAGAGACCCGGGTTCGGTTCCCGCTAGGGGCACGTACTTCGGTTGCAGTTTGTCCCTGGCCCTGGTTGGTCGTGTGGGTGGCAGCCACTCGATGTGTCCCTTCACGTCGATGTTTCTCTCTCTCTCTCCCTTCCTCTCTCTCCCTCCCACTCTATCTGTACAAAAAAAAAAAAAAGAAAGAAAGAAGAGTAGTATTTACTACTTTGGAACTTGAAAGTATTACAACTAAACTTTATTTCAAATTTACTTTACTAAACTTTTACTTCAAATATATAAAACTTCAATACTCAACTTCTTTGCCTGGTCACCCTACTTTTTTTATATTCCTTTACTCTCTGCTATGGCTCAGCTTTCAGCTAGCAACCTATAACTAACTTCATACCAGGAATTGATATAGAACAATTTGGTAATTTTCTCCAAGGAGAAAATCTAGCTATGACATTATCTCTACAGCTTTTTATTCCAACTCAAGAAGTTAATGCAATTATTTGCAATAAGCCAATAAACTCTCCTAAGAGACTAGATCAACTAAAAACTTTTCAGTCTGGCCCTGGCTGGTTTGGCTCAGCGGTTAGATCGTCGGCCTGTGGTCCAGAGAAAAACTTCTCAGTCTGGTTTAATATATACATTTGTTATCCTATAAGCTGTTATTGTGCTTTGAACTTTGTAGTTTAAGTATAGTTTTAAACTTTAACAGGATATTTGAATTTTTTTCCCAAAACTTTGAATGTGGTTTCACAATTACTGGCAGTTGTGATCACTGATAGTTTAATTATCACAATCTTAGCTTAACTGCACTACTTATCAGTTTCATAAAACTGTTTCCAAAGCTTGTAATTATTCCATATGACAGTATTCAAGTTGGACAAGTAACATCTCCTTTACATAATACAGAAAGTAGAAAACAACAAGGTTTAAAAAAAATGTTACAGGAAAACTTCAGATCCTAACCACCAAATTTCTCAATGAGGCAAATTCCCCTGATTAATGCACTCCCTTCCTTCCCCTGGTTAAGAAATGAGTATCTGACTAATTAATTGATTTCTCACCTCCAAGAATTGAATCTTGAGCAAAGTGATGAAAAGACAAAGAGTTGAAGCTGACTCACCCCAGTAGTGGTAAACTAATACCCTATTCCCCAGAACTACCTTGGTTGCCTTTATTTCCTACTGATTTTCTGAGGTACTCCAGATTTTTACTCTCTCTCCACCCTTCCATCTCTCACCCCACCCAGGTCCTCCCTTCCTTACTCAGTTTCCCAACTTAATCCCTTGCCACTCTTTCCCTCAGATATACTCACCCTACAAACACCTAACCCAGTTTAAAACCAAGTTACCCACTGACTTCACATCTGTACCTATCTAAATATCTGGGGGAGAAAAACACAAGCTCTCTGGTTTCACTATAAATTCAGGACCACAACTCTCAGGTAGACACTCAGCATTGCCTAGCAACTATATTACACTTCCTTAGTATGTTCTTCACAATCTCCAGAACAACCCTTCATTTTTCAACTGACTACTTTATCTCACATTTCATATAAAATAAAATAAAATAAAATAAAATAAAATAAGAAGCAGCAGCAGCAATCAGACAGAAATTCCTTCATCTTCCTACTTACCAAATCTACCAAACACCCTGTAACTTTTTCGCAGAAAGTGTGAATGAAGCCCCTAAAGGCCAATTCTTCCACACAGCTCTGGACTACATAACCTCTGACTTCTAACACTTTACTCCTGTAGTTATCTCTACTCTTTCATGAATCATCTATTTCTCCTTATGGAGTAGATTACCTCCAATAGAATACAAATCTGCACACAGACTATCCTAAACAAGTATTTTAACATATTTTTAAACTACCATAACTAACAGTGTGGCAAGTAATTGGGTATATAAATAAACAAGATTAACAATAGCCTGACAATTGCTGAAGACAAGGATATCTGGGGTTTTTATTATACATTCTTTTATTTTTACATCTGTTTGAAAGTTTCTATAATTAAAAAGTTAAGAAACAAAACTGTGGGGCAGGAATTGAAAGGAGACTTCCCTTAAATATACCCTGTTTTGTACATTTGACTTTAGAACAGTTGTAAATATTTTACATTAATATAAAAGATAATGAGCCCTGGCCAGTTTGGCTCAGCAGTTAGATCGTACGCCTGAGGTCCAAAGAGACCCGGGGTTTGGTTCCCGATATGGGCATGTACCTCGGTTGCAGTTTGTTCCTGCCCCTGGTTGGGTCGTGTGGGAGGCAGCCACTCGATGTGTCCCTTTCACGTCAATGTTTCTCTCTCTCTTTCTCTTCATCTCTCTCTCTCTCCCTCCCTCCCACTCTATCTGAACAAAAAATGGAAAAATGTCCTTGGGTGAGGACAGAAAAAAAAAAGATAATAAGGCCCTGGCCGGTTTGGCTCAGCGGTTAGAGCATCGGCCTGTGGTCCCGAGAGACCCAGGTTCAGTTCTGCTAAGGGCACGTACCTCAGTTGTAGTTTGTCCCAGGCCCTGGCTGGGTTGTGCGGGTGGCAACTACTCGATGTGTCCCTTTCACATCAATGTTTCTCTCTCTCTCTCTCTCTCTCCCTCCCACTATCTGAACAAAATATCCAAAAACGTCCTCGGGTGAGGATAAAAAATAAAATAAAAAGATAATAAAATGTTTTTAAATCCCTAAAAGAAAGTAAAACAGAGAAAGTACTGAGTATTAACTGAAAGAATATTCTCACAAAGAGAAACGATTTCAAATGAATATAAAGCATAGTAATTTGACAACATCACTGCTGGAATATACGAACTTTTTAGAGTGCCAAAAACAAAACAAAAAAATAAATCTTGAATTTTTTCAGTCATTATGTGAATAATTACCAACATTGTATTTTTATTTTGATACTGTTGTGTGTGTACTATAGTTGAAAATGAATGATTATATTGTGTGGTTGAAAATCAGTATTTTCACAATGGGAGATAAGAGATACAAAAAAAACAAAGTTTTAAAATTTTAATACTTAATTTGAATTGGAAATACCAGTAGGAATTCAAACTCTATTTAAAAAAAAAAAAAACAGCAAACAAAAACCTACGAATTGATAACCACACACACAAAATTAATCCAAGTAACTCTAACAGTTTCCTGAATGAATATCCTTAGTGGTATACATCCTAAAGGCAAAAGACATGCAAAGAAATATTGAACTTGACAGAAAATGTTACTAGTAGTGATATTAGTGTTTTAATTTTTAAACTGTTCTGGGTATTGTAGAATAGAGAAAATAAATAAATAGAGCAATGTTAGTGGAAACTAGTATTTTCACATGGGAAAAGGAAAATAATATATTGAATGGACAAAGATAAGGAAGTACCATGTGTGGTGGATTTGAAGTAGAGGTACAAGTATAAACTCACACATTTTAAAAATGTAATTTCTAGAAAACCAACAAACCTTTTATGCAAAACAAACAAATATGGGTAAAAGTGGCAGAGTACCAGTACCAAACAAAGGATTTCAGAGTCAATACAAATTCTAGCAACCCTTTTGCACTTCTGCCCACCACCATGAGACCAGCATATTCCATATAGGAGCTGTGATTTTAGCCTGAGTCCCAGAATAAGAAGATACATGGGCAAACCCAAGCCCACTGGAAGCCTGCATAAGAACCACTACAGTGGACTCAGAATATGAGCAAGAAATAAATGTTTATTGTTGTAAGCTACAAGCCTTGTAGTTGTTTTTTACTACAGAAAAAGTCAACAAATACAATAACTAAGCAACAAGTTGGTAAGGTAACCACACAGAAAAAGAAAACCTATTTCAAATGACTTTTAAATCACATTATTTTGAGTATACATCCTCAGTGGAATATATTCCAAAGACAAACTAAAATGCAAAGAAATACAAAGTGCATCCATTAGTTAACTGTTAGTCATACTATTGGCATTATTATTTTTATTAACAGGTGCAGTGAGATAGAGTTCACTACCCCACAATTCACCCATTTAAGTGGTACAATCCCACACTTTTTAATATATTCACAGATAAGTGCAATCATCACC